CTTGGTCCGTTCCTGAACCATGGAACATCTTCAACTTGCCTGGGCTTCCACGTAATGGGCACAAGATGTGCTTTGTGGTGATGGAAGCCGCATCAACTGGCACCCAAGCCCATGAGCTTTTACTTCTCAAGCAGGTACTAGTAGAACAAAAGGGTCTAACCAGCTTTGGAATTGAAGCCCCACACAAAAATGACTTGCTCGCCCCAAAAATGGGTGGGGCTTTGGCTTGTTGAACTTGGCGTTGGCCCCGACGTCCTCACCAAGAATGAACTCCTAGCCTAGCAACAATTGGGTGAAATGAGAAGCCCCATGGCCATGGGGGGGGGGGGTTGTTGTCCTTCCCTAAACGAGTTGAACAAAGGGTGGAATCCATTGGACAACTGGCGGCCGCTTGCCTTTAAGTAGTTCTACGGTCGAGTTGCTCCACGGATGTACCGACCGGGTGCCGTGCACGGTTTCGCCGCAACCGGGCCGAAACGATCCGAAACGAGCCGCAGCCCGCCGAGAGTCTTTCTCGGCGGAAATCTCGCCGCAACGATCCGAGGCTTGGATCAGAGGGAACTTCCCCGAAAAGGCGACAGCCTCGGTTCGAATAATATTTTAGTAGGGGAACCCTCCCCCAACAAAAGGGTAAAAGGGCACTACTGGGGACCTAGAATGGCATCATTTTTTGAGGCTAACCCTTCCCTGTTGGGGGGGATCCATATCGAATTTGTATATATGTATATACAAACATATATATATATATATTTACATTTATTGGTATGAGCTGGATTCAACACGAAAGATCTAATTGGATTTATGACGATTAAAGGCTACCTCTGGTCCGTGGCACTCAGTTGGGAACAGCCAATCAGGCTGTTCGACAATGGGGGCATCTCTATTGCTAATCTGCCAGCCATAGTGGAACGGCACTGCAACAAGGGAAACCACTACCAAGAGACACCGAGGTCCTTCAGTGGAGAGGGAAGAATAAGGGTACCCTTTCTTCTATAGTCTATTTTAGTAGCGGAATTGTAACTACTGGGGGACCTAGACAACCCTTCCCGAACTGGGGGACCCCCTTGTAGTTGGACACCCTGACATAAGGGCGCCCTTGGGCCCTGTCTGCTTTCTGAGGGATGCTCGGATGCTCACACTTTCGATGCTGCTGTCATCAACAAAACAGATGCGCCACCACACGCACTACCCCAAAAAGCGTACCAAGCCTGAAAAAAGAAGCACAAACCCAACTCTTTTGCACAGACCAAGTCAGAAGCAAGCATAAGCCACTGACTGCAACTAGTCTGTTGACGTGGGACAAAGGTTGGGCTTTAAGTATGTAACCTCAGCATCTCTCTTTTTAGGGGACCCCCGAAATGGTGGTGTTCCTCATGGTTTACATTTCAAGCACCAACAAAAAGGGCTACCCACACAAAAACAGACACACTCACCAAGAGACACCATTACAAAGAGGGTGCCTTGGTTGGGAAACCAATCAAAAATCTTCAGATAAAGAAGATGAAAGGAGGTAGGACTGGCCATATTGATTCACCACTATCATGGTCACCCCTAAATGGTCGGTTAGTTAAGGGGAACCCACCAACCCGTTCTTGACTTCGACACCCAGAAACTGTCAACAACTCGACACCCCAAGCGCCGCAAGGATTCGCCGCAACCATTCGAGGCCAGACGCAAGCAAGGCACCTTCGGCACCTCAGCGATCCGCGGCGCACCGGGCGCAGCCCAAGAAGTCTGAGATGCCCATGGCAGAGGCCTCGTCCCCGCTCCTCGAAGCAAAGCAAGACGGTGGCGGTGCAACCCCTTCGAGGTGAAACAAAAGGTCCACGGGCACAGGAACCTCAAAGGGGTTTCGCGTTTGTGCCACTTGACCAGTTTGGTTAAGACATTAAACAACAAACAAAAAAACAACAACTCCTCCTAAGAATGCCTCTAGAATGATGAACAGAAAAGTGACGATACAAAAAGGGGGACCCAGCTCTTCAGAAAGGGGACTTCCCGGCTTGCGCGCGCTTTCTGCAGCTTTGTGCCCCAGGATTCGATTCCTGCGCTTCCCAGCAAACATGGCTTGGTGCACAGGGTCACCAAGCCACGAGTGTTCGGCTCACCTGCTACATTTTGCTAACTCCCCAAAATTGCTGGGGTCCGTGTGACTGGGTGACTGGCCATATAGTTGATCCTAGTTCTCATAAGGTTTCTGGGTAGCAACTGTCCATCCACATGTCCCCTGACAAACAGACGTGTCACCCCAAGAAGAACACGAACCGAGTGCCTGATCAGGACCAATTTCTTCAGGGAGGGCTCAACCCAACTGGTCAAGGCGCACCCTGCCCTGCCGCAGGTGTCAAGGGCTCTTCAAAATGAAAGGTTGGCCAATCCTGAGGGAACCTCACGAGGCGACCTTTTCCTCAAGGGAAGGATTCGAAGCAACTTTGAACCGGCGTGATTCTTGCCAGCGCCCAACGTGGGTTTCTGGAACCAATCGGTCAAAGGGTCCCGAAGTGCTCAATGCTGAAACCAAACTCAGGCCCTTTCACAAAGAAAGGGGAGCTCAACAAAGGTCATTAAAACCATAGGTGGCCTTGGTAGAATAATCAGTGAAATCCACCTATGTCTAACGTGCCTAACCAAACTAATTCAACACAGGCGGTGAATAAAACAAATATGCCCAAAAACAAGGTTCACAGGTGGAATCCACCGCTGAGAACCGGCAATTTAGGCAACATGCCTAACATGGCTGAGGGCCATTTGCTCTGAAACGGAATCAACCTGTAGTGGACAGGAGGTACCCGGGTGGCATGGAAATGTTTGCTTCGGGATCTCCGGATGGCAAGGGGTCGAAACCCTCCAATCCTAGGACCTTCCATGTCCATTCTTTCCAGGGATCCGAATCTTTTCAGGAAACCAACCCAGAACCCCAGGGGAAACAGATCCGGTTTTTGAAAACAACCATGGTTGAAAATAATGGACAAGGAATCAACCCGTAGAAACACCAGAACAGTTCCCTTGACACAAAAAAGGAACAACAACAACCCCCCCCTCCCCCCCCAAAAAAACCGGGACCAACACGGGAAAAGGAATCAACCCTTAGACCCATCCCATCCAGGGCATCCCGCGTGTCTTTTCAGGCACGGGCGGTGCCCAAAACCCTCCTGGCTGTAACTTTCACCCCGAAGCCTTCGACACCCAAAGCTTCGGGTCTCAAACCCGCGGTTTGACCCCGGTTTGACCCAGGCCCCACAGAGAGCCCTCGGATCAGAGAGCAGTGAAGAGATCCAAGTTCAAGACCTTCGAATCACGAATGGTTTCCCGTTTCCGTGCCGCAAACAAGCTGGACGCCTTAGACTTAGGGTTTCTTTCAAGCAGTTTGCTGTAGACACCCCATGTAGGGCTCCTTCAAAGGAAGCAAGTCATTGGGCCCAGACGGATTTCTTTTCTTTGTTTGGGGGGGTCCGTTCTGGGCATCGGAAGGGAAGTCTTTGTGTAGGATTTGTTTGTGCATCCGGTCCTTTGCTTTCCCAAGTCATACCTCCAAAAAATCCCCCAAAAAAGGGCACCCTCTGAGGGAAGCAACCGGCAATCAACTATGATTGAATTAAACAAGCAACGGTCATCAATTGGTGTATATATATATATATATGTATACATATGTATATGTCTCTCAATCCAGCGTTTGGAAACGACATACCGCAAGGCAAGTATCTACCTTTCTTCAGAATTCACTGTATTTGCAGTGTTTAGTCTATATGCATGAGGGTTAGTCAAAAGGTCTTTTGCATGGGATGACAAATGGGGGGAAACTGCTAAAAGGATGATGTATCCCACTTGGACACGTTACCCATGGTCATTTAGGGGCCTTTCTGGGAATGTTGATCAACCCATATGTATGTGTATATATATATATATATTAGTAGACTGTCATTTGGAGGCCCAAGGGAACATTGATCAACCCCATATATATATATATATATAGATATAAGTATTTTGTGTGTATATATATACACATTTTAGTAGACTCACCTCCTACCTCCAAGAATAAGAATAATCCGCGACGAGGATCAAGAGACACTCCATGCCCAAATCCCGGAGCTGCACCAGGCACTGCCTCTCCAGCCAGAGGTCCTCGCAGCTCCCGAGAGCACATCCGGCGCCTCGGTTTCGGCTTCCGGGCTTCCGGGCTTCGGGGCATTGCTGCCAAACCGCGCTTGGGCAGCTCATGGCGTTTGTTGCTTCACTCGCAAACGCACTCCTTGGCCTTCTTGTGAGCCCTTGGGATAAAATGATGTGGATTTCCGGTGGATTTTGGGAAGTGCTATGACCCCTTGGAAGATGATGTGCCCGTTGTTGGTTAAGAGTTTAAGTGAGCTGAAGGTGGGGCAAAAATCCCACTGAGGGGACTTATTAAGTGAGGATATGATCCACTGAGTGGGAGTGGGGTGCTCATCAGGGGGGTAGCGGCTGAAAACAGAGGTGAAGGGTATGTGTCAAATTGGGAGGGTCATTGTTGGTTGCCCTTTAAACCACACTGAAACAAGGTCCCTTCGCCTCAAAGGAACACCATAGCTCAAGGTTCAGGGCTGCAGCACAAAATGGACTAAGGTACTTCAAACGATATTTTATGTCGGGAAACTTAGTTCTCCTTTGGGGACCCAGAACTGAGAGGTTACTTTTGGGGGCGAAAACCAAAAGGTTTCTCAACAAATATTCGGGAACCCAAAAACCTGTCTCCTTGGCATGTGCGCAACACCTTGCCATTTTGTTGCAGCCGCCCAAAAATGAACAGAACCAACAAGGAAACCACTAAAACCTGCGCCCGACGGGATATCGGCTGACTTGCCCAAGAAACAATTCACAGGCCGGACTGATGCCGAATGCCGAAAACTCGAATCTTCTGCATGTTTCTTGTTTGGTTCTCGAGTTGGCAGGTGGCCCCCCGCCTCTGTTTCAAGCATCCTTCTTGAAAAAAAGCGAACCAGCCAGGGGGTTGCCGTTGACCCCTCCTGCCAAAAGACAAAAACATCGACGCTTGTTGCGGATCAAACTCGGAAGACCCTTATGATTTCAACCAATAAGTTGAAAAGCCTTTTCAGATCCGTTGCCCATATCTCCAAATCTATTGAGTCCAACTCAGTTGAAGTCAAAGTGCGCAATCATGCAGGATCAATCCATTTACGACAAACACTCTTTGTGGGTTAAATTCGGAAAACCTGGAATGAGTTCAACCAACAAGTTTAAGTGAGGAAGCATTTCCCACCGAAGTGAGGAACACGTCTAGGTCCTCCAGTGGAGAGCTTAGAATAAGGGTACCCTGTTTCCGCAGTCTATTTTAGTAGGGGAACCCTCCCGACCAAAAAGTTGGTAAAAAGGCACTACTGGGGGACCTAGATAAACCAACAGTTCCACCCAACACCCCAGACCATTGAACTCAAAGCCCTAGATCATTGAACCGAATTATAATATTTTACCAGTGAATTCGGTCGTGTGAGGTCCTTTCATTCACCCAGATTGATTGGCTATGCCAAATCAAAAAGAAAATCACTCCGGAGCACTGGGCAAAGCGCCGTGGAGCGCCAGCAGCTTGGCCAGGATCAGCTGCCCAGGCAGGCCTGAGACTTGAAATTTTGGCTCGGGTGCCTTTTGGTCCCGTTGTTTATTTAGCTATTGATTTATTTGCTTATTGTTTATTTGTTGTTTTTGTTTTTCTCTGTTTTTTTTCAAGGGAACTGTTCTGGTCCTGGTGTTGATTTTCCCCTTTTCACATGGGTTTTAAACACGGCTTCTTTTCTTTCAGGCTGTAAAATGGGTGGTGTTTTCCTTTTGACCTTACTGATTTTACAGGGAACCCAAAAGGACACCGGCCCGTTTTGTTTGTTTTATTTTTTGCTTTTGCGGGGGGGGGGGGCCTTGTCGGATGGTTTGAAAGACAACTAAAATGGGGGGGGGCCCTTGCTTTTTTGGGCTTTCAAGAGAGGCTAAAAAGAAACCACAGCGGTGCATTCAATCGTGGTTGAACGCCTTGGGTCGTCCCCGCCAGAGTGGCGTTTAATTTTGGAAGCAATCAACACCCCTCAACCGCTGCTTTTTAGGCAGTACTTGGGATTCTGGACATGGGAAAATACTGTTGCTGGGTGCTGCTGGAAAGTAAAGGACTTCAATGATGGCGGGCTCGTCCCATCAGTGAGCTCGAAACCCAAAGGCAGGCCTAGCGGTCTACCCAAACCCTGTGTAAAAAATCCTACGGCCGGCTGTCCCTTACTACGGTGAATGCCCGAAGTATTGCAAGCAAACCAGGCACACTCAACCACAACACCATGGTAAATTGCAGAAACATACCTAGGGGCTCATTATTGACTTGCTTGCAATATTTAGGGCATCCACCCGAGCCTTCATCTATGCGGGCTTTGAATGTGGCCAATGTGAGGACAGGAACCCAAACAAACAACAACATACAAACAACTCAACACACAAACAGTCACACACCAGCACAACCAAACAATAAGCAAAGCAATTTACACAACAATGAAATCAAAACAAACAACCGACTCTGGCACTTTCCGCCCCGAAAGGACATGTAACCAAACTTCCTACTACTAAAATGGTCGGTCCAAAAAGTAACTCAAGTCCAGTAACTCAGTGAGACAAACCGCAAACCCACGGCCGCGCATCCGTGCTTCTCTGGCCTGCGGCCCGTGCTGCTGCAAGGGCCTCCGCCAAACACTGCAGGGGCCGCCGGGAGAAGGAAACTTGGTCCAGAAGGTAGGCCAAGATCTCCTGATCGACTGCGCCCCGACATTTGGCCATGGGTCAAAATCCAGTACCCCCAGTGAACATCCGAATCCCCACTAAAATAGATCAAAATGGGTCAAAATGGTACCATTGGTGTTGACCCACAGCCATTATTTAGTGTTGACCCCATACTGTGGATGGACGCGAAATCCATTTCGAACCACCCAAGCAACCATGGTTGACCAGAACGTTTGTTGGTATTTACGTTGGGGGATCAACATTCCAGGGTTTCTTAGGTGGTGCAGGAGTTCGTCCATCTACAGTACTAATCAAAATCTGCGGATCAGTAGGGGGGTTGGGGCCGCTCCAAAAGTGGTCTGATTCCGCACTAACCCCCCCCCCAGATTGCCCTTCAACGGTTTCGACCCACCTGTCTACAACTTCAATCCCACGCCAATCTCCTGCTGCCCGGCCAAGGCAGCAGTCTCTATCGCGGAGTTGGAGGCCTCTCACCAGAAATCGCACAGGATCGCAGCGGATCGATGTCTCGATGTCCATCTATTTTCGCTGCGGCTCAAAATCTTTAAGTTGCCGCAGGTTTTAGTCTTTGGTTCTCCTGTTGGATTCCCATCGAAGCAAAACAGTGGGGGGGTACACTTCGAATGGAGAAAACCTCTTGGTGGGAAGCCACCCCACTGAATCTTCGGTTACTTCCGGGGATAGCTTTGCAGGGGCAACCGCCAGGTTTCTTGACATGGGAAATGGGGGCCCCTGGGATTGACATTGGGTTTTTTCCTTGTGAGACATGCCCATTTGGGCCTGTCCTTCTCTGGTGCCGCGGGTTGGAGTGTGTAAAACCCGGGGAGCCAAAGGTGTGTACAACCATCTTCGGAGGTCCCCCACCATAAATTTTACGACAATCCCAAGGAACCAAACTCCGGGGCCTTTCCTTCCCCGTTGCTCCCGTGGAAACGACACCTCGCGTGGTGGAAACCGAGACGAAGCACGAAACCTTAGACAAAACATGGGATCTGGAAACAAACAAACCCTGCCAATCCCCCTTTTGAGCTACTCTGTGTCCGTGGTCATGACGTGACGCCTAAACATATTCCAAGCTATCACCTTTTACCTCGACTAATGGACCAAACAGGTGTCCTTTGTTCCACAAAAAAAGCAAAAACCGTTTTCCTCTTGGTTGTCCTTTCAAGCCACAACAAAAAAGTCGGGGGGGGGGGATGTTAGGTGGTACCCACTCAAAAACCTAGATAGTTTTCCCTTTGAACCACAAAAACTGCCCACCGCTCCCACCACGGGGCCAAAAATATTCGGCTCGGGAAAAAAGAAAAAGAAAAACGTCCGCGCCAGCCACTGCGCGTCCAGGTCCGCTCGCGCGCCCAGCAGCGCCTGAACCACCTGCCGGTTCCTTCTGGAGAAACAAAAGAGCATCGAGTCATAATCAAAACCCGGTTGTAAAGTGGTCTACCCAGAACCATGCTTCAAGAATTAAGAAGGCGGCAGCTTTTATGGTTGGGGGTGTCCCTTAATGTCCATTACTAACCTTCATCTACCCGGGTTTTGATTGTGGCTCAATTGGAGAAGCGACCTCGGAAGCTCTGTGATGTCGAAAGCCACCGACGGAAACATGCCGAAGATTCATTTTGAGCGCATAACAAGGCACACGAGCAGAATGAACGACCATCAATAATGACAAGCAACAACCAATTCGAGAATGTGCACTCAACGAAGGCAAAAAAAGCTGAAAGGAAACACACATTTTAAAGTAAAGACAGCCCAGAGCGTGCAAAAACACCTAAAATCAAACAAACTGCTTAGAGTGAACACAACCAAGGCAAAAGAGCAACACAGCTTGAAGCAACAAAAACAGCCTACCGCGAACTAAGCCACACGCGCAAACCACCTACTACAAAGCAGGGATCCATACCTCAGCTTTTGCCTAGCCCAAGACCATTCTCTTGATCCTGGTCCATACATGGAGATCACTCGGGTGACCAACCCCAAAAAGGTTACCCTATAAGTCCCCTCAAACAAAATCACACACCCGCTTTCACTTTGGTATCAAATAACTTGCCAGCTCTCAGTGATGAGTTGGACAGGCCGAATCGAGCTGAAGAACTCAGCCATCCCTAGCGGTTTCCCTCTCGAGGACTTTAAAGGATCCCAAAACTCGTAGGAAAAAGCTAGGGGGCCCCCCACCCAAGAATTCTTGGAAGATTCTCACCAGTTCTTAGAAGGTTCCGAGTGCAAGGAAATTCCCACTGACCAGAAATTCACCTGCCGCTGGAAGCTTTGGTGCCGCACAAAGACAAGCTTCAAGGGAAAACCGACCACAGGGTTCCCCCTGTTTCCCTCTTCGACCTCAAGCGGGAAGCCCAGCTACTGGACCGCAAACGGGACTGGAAGCTCCGCACTTGCTCGCTCCGCAACTGACCAGCTCACTTCAGGTCCGTGGGCCCCAAACTTTTTACTTTGGACCAAATGACCAGCTTGTGAACAAGTGCTTCGATCATGTGAGAAAACGGAAAAGGGAGTGACGCTCGGTTGCTTTTTCTGCTCCCCTGCTCAAAGTGAAGGACATTTAGCGGTTTAATACGGAGAACCCCAAAAAGTTGGCAAAACAAGTTGGCAAACAGTTGTTCAGTCCTAACATCCCTTGGCAACATGCACCAAAGTGGTGGTCGGCTTCTTCTTAGGATTTCATCCGCTGGTGCTTCTTCCCAGGATTTCATCATAATGTTGACCCAGGATTAATAAACCCGTCCCACTATTAGGGGGGGTGTTCCCTCCAAAAGTGATGAATCCAACCACTAAAAGGGGACACCCCCCTATTAACCAACCAGGGGTTCTACTTAATTCCGGGGTTAACATCCACTGGTGGACGTCAAAGTGGAGTTGGCATGCGCCAGTTGGAGTCCCTTCGCTTCGCTTCCGCCTCCAGGTGGCCGCCTTCGGTGGCGCAGTGCAAAGCCGTGCGGGGCCCAGCCTCGAGGTCCTCAGATCGAAGGCTTCACCCCCCCTCCCGCGTGTGGGCGGCGGGTCGGCGCACACGTCGGATTTGCTTTTTGGAGGGGCGGGGGAGGGGGAGGGGGGGAGGTACATCTTTTCTGCTGGGGGAGAACTTGGAAGTTGGATTTGAAGCTTTTGGTTCTGGCAGCGGTTGAAAAGTTCAAGTCACTTTGGAGGCGGTTTTGAAACCCCATCTTCTAATAGAGGGCAAATGGGAAGCGAAGCCAACAGGACATACCATGTTTGTAGATTCCCTAGCTTTGCGAACACTTTGTGGTGTTAATTCTAACCATCGGGAAACCACTGTTTTGGTGTTCCCAACCAAACAAATGCAAAATACCCACACATGTCAAGCATCTCTTGCAGGGCAACGTACCTAAAAGCAGCCTAAGGTAAGGTGATGTTAACCACCCCTTCAGGGGAAGTATAAAAGTGAAAAAGAACACCTCCCCTCTTAAGTCCTCAGCTGTCAGCCACTTCCTTTCCAGGCGGAAGGCCGCGAAACCCGAAAACCCGCATCATCGTCACCCCGGATTCAGCAGAACCCCTGGTTACCAAAAATGGGGAGTGTCGACTTTCAAAATAAATCGCTTTTAGAGGGAAAGCATTAGTTGTTATTTTGTTCTTAAAAACACATCCCCTTGGCCAAGTCACGATTAGATTCTCTTTGGTGTGGTTCATTTCAGATCCCACTGGATTCACGCGGTTGCCTGACCAACAAGTGGAAAAGCAGGCTATAAAAAATCCCGGAGGCTTGCTGCTCTGTCCGAAACAAGTGAGGTTTTGGGATCCCTCAAGGGACACCAGCGGGAGTCCGGCCAGCCGCCCAAAATCAGTGTCATCGAGCCTAGCGAAAGGAGCTCAACTTTAAATTCGCTGCCGACCAGCGGCCTGTGCGGTTTGTCTTGGATAAGATCTGCGGTGTGTTAAGGCAATGTTTGGTACTGTCCGACATCTCCACCAGCTTGGATCAATACGGGGATGCGTGTCGCCCCCCAAGCTGATCCGGACTCCTAAATGGGGCACCTCTCGAGTCAACGGCGCGGTGGGGAAAATCAGGATGGGCTTGCCGCCGCGCCTCCACCCTCACCACCCCCAACCCCAACCCCAACCCAACCGAACCCACCCCACCAAGTGTGTCATAATCAAAACCCGGTCTTAAAATGGTGTACCCAGAACCATGTAAAGAATTAAGAGGGCGGCCGCAGCTATTTATTTAAGGTTGGGAGTGTCCCTCGGTCCCTCACCAATCTTCATCTACCCGAGATTTGGTTATGCCCTCAAGTAGCCAAGCACTCGCGTTTTGCTTTGCAGCCGCGGCGCAGCGCGCGCTTGCAGCAGCTCGCGCAGGATCTCCAAATGCCCGCGCCGCGCCGCGCAATTCAGCGCCTCCTCTTGGAGGAAGGGGATGAGATCCTCACGAAGGAGCACGCAAACGGTCGGGAACCAATTTGGTTTCATTTCTGACTCAAGCAACTTAAGTAATCTTCTATTTTTGCTCTACCTTCTTCGTTATGATGATTTTCTCCTTTTGAGAAAGTGTAGAATCTTGGGTAGTGTTTAATTATTTCGTTTCCATGGCTATTTGCAGACTGACCTAAGTTCTGGGTGTGGCTCCAAATCAAAGAGCTGGGGTTACGCAGGTTTTGGTCTTTGTTTGCATCCAAGGGGCCAAAAAATGGTACCCCTTGTTTGACCCGCCCAATGGCTGGCGTCGACAGGAAAGCAGCTCATGGGATCAAGCCCCAGCAAAAAGCGTCCACCATGTGTGTCCTGTCAAATGGGTGGTTGCTTCCACTTGGATCAGAAGTATGGATGTGGTCAAACGATGGCGATGTTCCAGTTTCCCAGGAAAAAGCCTGCGAAACATAGGTTGTTTGCTAAACAAAAGGAACCTTCTTCTTGCTCCCGTCAAACCCCAAAAGCACACGTCCACCCCTTTGCGGTTCAAATATAGATCCTTGCAAGCGCAGTTTGATTCTAAGACAAGTTTCCCGTTAAACAACCAAACGGGGGTTCCCTCTAAAAAAGACACACACACACACACAACACTCAAACGGTCAGCAAGGTCCAACTCTGAAATATCTAGACAAACACCGACGTCTTGTTTGTTGCCCAAATTCACAAGCCTCAAGCGGTTGATTCCTGTTGGTTTATACAGGGGGCACTTTCAGGGGTCAACATTAAGCCACCAGAAAATCGGGTCCCCCTTTTAGGAATCAACCTTTTGGCTGTGGTGAGTTTCTCCCGGGGTCGCATGGGTATGGGTCAAACTTAAACCACCAGAACACCGCAGGTTTTAGTCCTTGGTTCCATTTACCAGTTTTTTTGCTTTTTTAGGGTTCCATATTGAGGTTACCCAATTTTTGACAACCACAGCCACGTGGTGGGTTAAACCCCCAGGCACCGCGCCTCGCGGGCAGCGAGGTACCGGCACCTGCCATCCTCCGCTTCGATCTCGTACCTCGAAAGCCGCTTTGGGGATGCGGAGTCGATGGGTGGCTCGGGTCCACTGGCGTTCTCTTTTCTGCTTTTTTCTTTGTTGCGCAATTGGTACCCTGGGATCAGAAAGGGATGTTCTGATGTTCTGAGCGTGGGGCTTTGAACGCAGAGGTGTGTTTTTTCCATTTGTTTGGTGGCTTCAATGAACCCAAAAGCACAACCGTTCGGGAAGTTTTGGGGGTTCCAGCCTTGAAGCGCCGCCTATGATGCCATGACTCGGATCCTTTCTCTGGCTCGAAACCCTCTAAGTAGAACCCCTGCTTGATTTGGATGGGGAAACCCCCGTACCCAGAGGATCCTGGCTTCGGCTTTCAATGCAAGACCCGACCCCTCCATTGGACACCCCGGGAATTGGTTGGAGGTCTCAACACCAGGCTGTTTGAAGGCCCTAAATCAATCGAATTGGAGCCTCTGGGTAGTGCAGATTCTCCTTCTTTTGAAGACCCCACCCCGCAAAGAAATTGGGATGGGGTCGTTGAACCTTCCTTATATACTCCCTTTCTTGCGAGTCACGAGATGCCAGGACCGCCAACCCGTTTCTGGTGGCTCAGAAAAACCCAGGTGGCGACAAGCAAGACACCCGTACTGCAAGTAGACCAACCCCCGCAGAGCCATACGAAACCATGGTGGCAAAAATACGGGTCTACCGTACTTGCGTATAATATCATATCATATATGTATATACAAACATATTATATTGGTATGGCTCAAAATGAAACAGCAGGGGCAAACCGCAGGTTTTGTTCCATGATGTCCATGTTTCCACTTACCAGGGTTGATTGTAGTACCGTTTTTTTGAGCCACAGCCATATGTGTCATTCACCTCACAACTTTATCTGCCCTATCTTTCGGGGCCACAGGCAGTGAGTAAGAGGCGGCAGGTGAAACACGGCACTTGGACTTGGCATTGTCGGCCGGCCATTCGGATTGCTCGTCTGTTTTGAGGGGGTTCCCCCCCAAAAGGGGGGTTGTCCTTCTTGAAAAAAAGATTGGAACCCTGAGAAAAGAGAAGCCCATCTCCAAAGAGACTCATAAACTGTCTCAGTTGGACATCGCTGAACCAAAAGACAGAAAAGAAACGGCATGCATGTGAAAAAATAGGTGACGTCCTGCGTCGGGAGGCTTCCGGCGGTCACCAAAAACAGTACCTGCAACGAAGAAAACCGGGAAAAGAATGCCAAATTCATGCACCCAGAGGCTCCTGGCTGTGGCTATCAATGGAAGACCCGACCCCTCCACTACACCCTGGGAATTGGTGGTTGGAGGTCTCAACACCACTGCAAGGCCCTAAATCAATCGAATTGGAGCCTCCGGGCACATGCTAAGAATAGCAACTTGCCATGTTTCTCAATTGGCAGCTTCCCTTTGCCCAGCCAAGAGGATGTCCTTCCCCCCAGCCGCGGATCAAGTCCCAATTCAAACCACCAATCAACTTGCTGGTGCGATAGGTAGGGAATGAGGGAACTGCAAATCCCCTAAATGAAACTTTATAGGGGTCGTTCCATGTCTCATTTTCGAAGCACCAGCAAGTTAAGGATTGCCTGAAAAATCATTTGTAAAAAAAAAAAAAAACACGAAGCGATTGCCCCAAGAGCCCCCGAAACCCGTGAAACTCTCCGTGTGAACCCTACCTGAAAGCTCCCCCGAACCTCTCCAGAACTTGTTTGGACCTATCGACCCCCAAAGCTTTCAGCTGCAAAAAGAAGGACACAAGTGCTGAAAGGCAAACCGAAAGGAAACACAAGGGAAACCCGCAAAAAAGGCAACCTATTTTGTTGCTTCCCGTTTGAGACAAGCCCACAGTGCTGCTGGACTGAGGCGACCCGCCCGTTGAAAAAAAAAAAACGCGCTTCGCATCTGTGGCGCTCCCCTCCATGGGCGAAAGCCACCACATGGCCCACATCCCCGGGGACCAAAATCCAGTCCCCGGAGGTGCAGTAGATGGGCGCCTGCGAGCAGGCGAAACCCCACTGGTTTGTTGTTTTCCGGGAGTTTCTCACATGCTGGTTCGGCCCCCCTTGCGAGTGATCTTCAAGGAACAACCATCTTCAGGAATCCCAAATTTGAGAAATTCCCGATCCCCGTGGCCACGAGGCTTGTCCCGTTGAATGGGTTGGTTGCAAAATTGGCTGAAACAACACAACCCATCCCTTTGCTTTGTTCTTGCTGCGAGCAAAAGGTCGATCACCTTTTTGTGCGCAGGATACCGCTGTGAAGCAGGTGAGTCACAATCAAAACCCGGTAGTACAATGGTCTACCCAGAACCATGCTTCAAGAATTAGGAAGGCGGCCGCAGCCATTTCTGGCTGGAAACCCTGCCAAACCTACCCGCAGACCTCCAGGCATTCTGTGACAAAACGCACTCACTAAGGAACCTTTGATAGGGAACCTCAAGAAGTGGGGGAACATGAACTTTTGACTTCTGATTTGTCTGTTTCCAGGGTCCATTCAAACTCATATCCATCAGGCAGCTTCCATGTCCATTCTTTCCAGTCCGAATCTTTTCAGAATGCCGTCTTAAAGACTTTAGGGGGAACCAAATTGAATACCCAGAAGCTCCTGGGGCTTATGGAAGACTCGACCCCTCCATTAGACACCCCGCTTCGGTGTTTGGGGGTCTCAAAACCTGGCCGTTTGATCGCCCTAAATACATTGAATTGGAGCCTCTGGGTATTGAAAAGAATGAGCATGGAACGGGTTCAGCCACCATTAAAATAACAATTGAGCCAATTTGGATGATGGCAATGCTCAGACAAACAATGGTGGTGAAGTATGAACCCAGTTTCTTTGAGTGGTTCTTTGAACCGCAGGGAATGAACATGGAGCTTTAACCCCTAGACCTCCTTCGCTCGCTCGCTAGGCCTTGATGTACACTGCCTCGCCCAGGCGCAGCACGTGCCGGTTTTCCAGCAAGGTGGAGGGGAGGTGCGGCATGCAGTTGTACCTCGCCAGGCATACGATAGAAAGATCCTCCAGATGTGAGAGGTTAGAAAAAGGGTACCAACTTTTTTTTCAGGACGTCTAGTTCAGTAGTTAGTAGGGGAAAGGCCTGTTAGACACGGCTAGGCATAAATAGAAAGGCCTGATAGACACGGCTCCCCTACCAGCTAGACACCCAGTTCGAACGAGTAGGTGGGCCTAAAAAAGCAAACACACTTTCTATATTTACCACCGAAATCATGGCCTGATTCTTTTGGGTGGGGACTCCGGTAGGTGGTTTCCTTTTGGCTTCCTGGCAAGACACCGGCCAAAAAGGGGGACACCCGTTTGTTTGAGACACCCCGAGTTTTTTAGAACGGGGTTCTGGGGTAGTAAGCTACAAAGCTAAGGGCAGGAGATCCATGGTGACTTCAAAGGCTCTTATACGCTGTAAATCGGATTCATCCAATTGGGTTCTCTGCCAGTCACTCATATGAACCCCTCAGAAATGGATCATGACGCCGTACTCAAGAGGCACCCGGAATCTTCGGCCGTGGAAGCCCGAAATGGTTTTATGACAGCATCGAGTGGATCAACGAGCGGTATAGCATCACCTCTTTTTTTCTTAGCCTCCCACAACAGAAATATTAATATGAATCTTCACCTTTTGGGGTCAAAATGTGGACCGACAAGGGGACACCAAAAGGTCAAAAGATCCGACTTTGGACGACCAGTGAGAGTATGTCTAACAATGTTCACATATCCACAGTTCGGCCGCAGTTTCAGCGGGGAGAGGCACGAGACATGGTCCAAACTCCGTGGCCCGTCATGGTTTCCTTACCCAAAGGCTCCAATTCGATTGATTTAGGGCCCTCAAAGAGCCAGGGCTTGAGAACCCCAAACACCTCCAGGGGTGTCGAAATGGGGTCGGGTCTTCCCTTGAAAGCCCCTGGGATCCTTACCAGGACGACCGTCCCTGTAAGGTAAACGGCAGCAGCTCCCTAAAGACCGACCAAACAAGTCAGTCACCAGTCACATCCGAAAATTCCGGCGGCCGAAAAGACATGTTGAGACTCTTGGCTTTGAAATGACGAGCTAGGGGTCCACGATTTGGGATATGGGCCACAGCCAGAGTATGTGGTCAATGGGACTTTCAAGTACCAACCTCGGTGGGACCAGCCTCCAAAGTTTGGTTGTTGTGGAAGGACAGTTTTGGAAGACGTACTCCGTCAAGCTACCCTGTCATCCACCATGGAACCTGACTGTCTGACAGGTTTGCACAAGGACCCTCTGGTCTCCATGTCCGAGCTTTCGAACCCAAACAAGGCGGTCCCATCCAGAAGAGTGAGAGGTGGCCATGGGTCAAAATCCCTTACCGCCAGTGAACATCCCAATCCCCACTAAAATAGACTAAAATGGGTGGTGTACCTACCCCAAAATGTTACCATTGGTCGTGACCCACAGCCACGTTTCGCACCAACCAAAATGTTCAGAAGAACGCCCCCGCCGGCAACCGCCCCTTGCATAAGGCCTGACCTGCAAATGCAGTAGGTGAGGTCCCCCGTGTTGACCATCACCTGAGTTCTGGGCGAACCTTTCTGGAAATGGCCCGTCGCTCCTGTGTTATCCCAGGCAAGCCACGGCATGCAACGACCATTCCCAACTTTGGGTTTTCGATCGGTGCTTCCACCGTTTGTCGTGGACCCCATGATGAGCCAGGGGGGCGTTGAGGGGCGGCTACCTCTGGAAAAAAACATCTAACGGACATGCCCTGGTAGATGATTAAAACAATTATGCATGTGATAACTTTACTAACCGAAAACACACATTTCAACAGAAACAACGACACCACATTCGACCTACCCAACACCCCAACCCGAAACAACTTAAAGTCTTAGCTCTATCAACACGAAAAAAAAAACACGTTGCTCCCGCAGCCCAACCATGAATCAAACGCCAAGAAACCCAATGGACCACCTCAACAAAAATGCCTGACTAGTCCCTAAAAGCAGCCAAAAAGAAACACACAAGGTGGCCAGCATGGCTTGAGATGAACCAAAAACAACTCAACCAGCAACACCCTCAGCCCCAGCCTTCTAGCCATGTTCTCTCTCTTTTTTTTTTGGGGGGGGGGGCGGCTCCTGCGGTTTTCGTATGGTTCGGGATGGTTTTTGGAGGTTCTTCTACGGGACAAAGAACTGCCACGGGAAGATGAACGGGAAGCTTCCCTGCCATGTTGCGGACACCGGGAGCCGAGGACAAGCCCTTGATACAGCCCTAAGCATAGGTGTCCTTTTTGGTTGTTTTGCTAGAAAAATAGAAGGCCCTGGCTTACCTGGTGGTGGTTGAATGTGAGGAGTATACTATAATCATAAACTAAGTTCAGGATAATACTAGTGTTTCATATTTAAGGTGTTCAATAATTTTGGGATTACACGGTTTACGTTCAATGACTTATCTTTCCCCTTGTTTTACATATAATCTTATTTGATGATGTTAATCTCAACATTTCCCTTCACAGTTTCATTCGGAAACTGTTTTTAACATACTCGCATGTCATAAGCATCGTCAACATCTTTGCATTGTCATTCAATGGTCAACTCACAATTGACTGTATCTTGGCTACATTTCCACAACAAACACTTTTTATAATATTATCAACATCATAATCAGTAAGTTCGATAAATATAGCTCCAGAAGGGCTTTTTGAAGTGCCACAAAACAAATATATATTCTTCAAACACCTCATACTCAAATAGTATGAACACATGGTAAGAAATTATCCTTGCAATCTTCCTGTTTCGTCCCGTAAGTATTCAATAACTCGCATTGGTGAATATGGTACTTTGTTTCCTTTGTTTAGTTGTCCTGTTGCTCCTGCTATTAAGTCGTGGTTGATAATCATCGCTTCAAATTGAACTTTTTACACAGTCAATCATGGTCTTTTCTACTAGGTGTTTGTGCACTTCTTGTATGATGAACCAAACAAATGAATATCGTCACTAAGTTTACTCCGCTTTTTCTCCCTAAGCCTGTTAATCACATCTCCCCATAATTCATCATCGCTTGTTGGTGGCAAGGGTTACTTTAACTCATAATTGCTCTTACTCTCACTTCTTTAAGTGTAACTTAGATTATGTTTGAGTTCGACCAAATAACATAATGGCGAGACTTCCCAAGCACATCTTCAGCAACATCTCCTATGACGAGGGTTACGGCAGGGTTGTCCAGCGCGAAAAAACGAAATCCACAACCGTGTGAGGTGCTAACAATATGAAATGGATGCACTAAAACTATAAAACCGGCATTGAAACAATATAATAGCACAACTCATTCGTCAACTAAAGTAACACAGACCGAAGCACACAAGGACGACCACAACGTACATGTAAAGCAAATCTTAGACTCAGGGGGAAAAACAAACGCAAGTATCCCGGAAAGGAAGTCAATGATAGGGCAAACAAAAAATCCAAGGGGGGCAATATACCGATAGAAATTCATTACCAACAAAACAGCCAAAACACGGTGAGGAACCATTTCCCCCTAAAGGACCAGAAACACCAAGGCGGACCACTTCCGAAGCCCACCAAACCCCGCCCCGCCCCGCCCCGCCAAACCCCTAGGGATCCGAAGTGGCCAAGTCGTCGAGCCGGTCTGCGCTGTTGGGATCCTGCGGACCGCGCGGCGCGGCCGGTAAGCCCAATGAAAACGCTGGATGCCTTCTCCATCTGCTTTTTCAATCAAAAACCTGGATCTGGTTTTTCTCCGTCTGAAGCTTCATGTGATCAAAAACGAGAAACACATCTACTGTGGATGGTTGCGAACTCCGATTCGCACGACTTGGTTTACCATTGTTTGTTGGTATTTGCAGGGAAATCCGGCTTCCCGGGTCTCTGCTCCAAGGCTCTTGGGGCATGGAAGACACGAGGCACTACACACCCAGGTGGAAACAAAAGGATAATGCTGACATGCAAGTGGATGCATCGAATCCTGCTTTAACTAGGTCCTCCAGCAGAGAGGTTAGAATGAGGGTACCCGATTTCTTTAACTTTTTTTCGGTAGTCTATTTTAGGGGAACTCTCCCCCCAAAAAAGAAACAGTAAAAGGGCACCACTGGGGGACCTAGTTCTTTTAGATGATGTACCTTAAACCGTTGCCATCTGCATGTGCTTTTAAGGTACAGTAACGTTCTAGTCATTTTTCGAGGCTACCCTTGGTTGGCAAAGTGAAAAAAAAGGGGCCGAAATCCATCTCGGGGGGTCCAAATCCTTAAAAAAGAAACGCATTCATATCCTTGGGCAGACGGAAAGAAGCAAAAGGGCGAGCATCAGTTCGAGGTGGTCCCAGTCTTTTCCACCCTCGTTCTTCCAAAAACCGGAACCGTTCTCCCTGGGTTTCCGAAACTTAGGAAGATTCGGATCGGAAAGAATGGGACAGGTACCTCTAGAAATGTCCTACCAGGGCTTCAAGTCCTAGCAAGCCCAGGTGATCAGCTGGGGAAAAAAAGGGGACACGTGGGGGGTGGGGCAGGAAATTGCTCGAGCTGTGCTGTTCGGGCAACAAATGCGTGTTTAATGGAAGCCTAACAATCCTGCACATGCTTGACGCGTTTTGGCATTTTGGGGGTTTGTCTTTTCTTGTGTGGAAACCAGGGGTTTCTCAAATCCCCAAACCACCAATCCTAGAAATTTGTCTTTTCTTTCTTGTGTTTCCACGGAATTCGAGGGAACCCAAACAAACTCAAGGGTAAAACCCAGCACAACCAAGTTTCCCCGATTTTAACGCAAGAAAAAACCCTCAGATCCCCAAACCACAACGAAACCACAACTAAACCACACGAAACCACCACTCAACCACCACTCAACCACCACTCAACCACCACTCAACCACCACTAAACCACTAAACCACTAAACGACTAAACCACTAAACCACTAAACCACTAAACCGCTAAACCACCTCCCAAGCAATTCAGCGAACTTTTTCAGAGCCCCTGCACGCCCCCAACCCGCCCTCCGCGCCCGCCTGTTCGATGGCCTCCACAAGACCCGTCACCCAGTGGCTCGCCTTCGGCCGCTCCTGGCCCCCAACAAGCAGAAACAAAGTTGCAAATCAACAAATATTTTTCAAGATAAGGCAACCCCACCCCCCCCCACCCCCCAAGCAAAAAGCAGTTTTAAGCCAAAAAATGACATTTTTCCCAGACTGCCGGTCCCCAATACAACTTTTAGAATGGGCGAATTCTAAACCAACACTACGCCGGTGGATTTCTTGCGGCCAGCCCTGGCCGTAAAATCGGGGCCCAAGCTGCTTGCAAAAAACCCTATGCCAGAATTGAACAAAACCGAGTCCCCAGCCGCAGTGACCCCAAATAACAAAAATATCGCTTGGGGAGGCAGGCCAGGGAATGGCATAGGCAGTGAAATGCAGGTTCTTTTCTGCAGCCCCAAATTTTTAGGAAACAGTCAGGGCATGTTAAACGGGTCCCAACCAGAGTTGTAGCGTCCTTCGAGTAATTCGGTGAGGGTATCCGAGGCCACCGACTCTGGGTCCTTCCTATTCTGGAGTGATCCCTTAGCCAGGCTGCGATTGTGATGGAGACCGAACGGGACTAATTCATGCACCACATCTGAAAGTAATGTTGACCCAGGATTAATAAACTCGTCCCATTATTAGGGGGGATTCCCTCCAAAAAGTGATGAATCCCCACTAAAAGGGGACAGCCCCTATTAATAAACCAGGGGTTTATTAATCCGGGGTTAACATTACTTGGTTGCAAGGGGATCCTCCAAATCGGCAACCTGGGCGGCAATTTAAGTGCGCTACAGCAACGGGATTTGGGATGTTGCAAAAGCAGAGCCGTTGGCACCCGAGTGCTGGGGGTTTGTCCCTATGCCAACGGCTTCCTGTCGGTTTCTCTTTTGCCCACCAGAACCCCCCGACTCCCAATCCCATGTTGAGAAACCGCCAGTTCCCAGTTGCCTGGGAAGAAAAGGATCTTTTGTCTTCTTGACAAAAATACAAAGGTCAAAAGGTCGATCTTGGGCAACTGAATTTGGGTATTGGAGTCTGACGATATGAACAACTCCTGAAGTTGGCTATGATAGCCCTTCTGTATGGCCACTAGGATGACCAAAAGGGACCGACATCTTCGTTTTGCGGGTACCCGGAAAAGACTTACCCTTCTTTGTGGCCACGAGGAAAAGGTGAACTGGAATACTTCCAGGTCCAAACTGGTTGCAGGGCCGTGGACTCCAGGAGTTAGCTCAAAGGAGTGGCCCTTGTCAACTGCTTTGGGCTTGGTGCTCCGAAGGTGCTGAGTCACCATGGAAGGAGTTGAAAGTCTCGGCCACAAATTAACATATGTCCAGTAGTGATAGATTCCCCTTGAAACCAACCAGGGAAAAGAAAAACCAAGAACTCATTACAGGTCCTCCAGTAGAGAGGTTGGAAAAGGGTACCTTCTTTTCTTTTTGTCTGTAGTCTATTTTAAGGGCACCCTCCCAACCAAACAAGTTGGTAAAAGAGCACTACTGGGGGACCTAGTTAAACAACAGTTCCACCCAACACCTCAAGCCATTCAAAACCCTAGCTCATTGAACCGAAATCTACACTCCCCAAATCAACCATGAAACATAGTCATTCCAACCCTCCCAACCAAAAAAGTTGGGAGAGAAGGGCACCTAGCTGGGGGACCTAGATACTCATTTCAGCAAATGGCAGCCTAGGAGTCCCGTTTCAACTGGCCTCCCCCAAAAAAGGGGGTAAAAGGGCACTACCGGGAAACATACTCAGTTCAGCCAACAACATGACCGCCTAGCGGTCCCATTTCTCAACCGGGTGATCTCTCTCTTTCTCTCTTCGCACACCTCCAGCTCGAGGCTGGCCAGGTTGAAACTCACCGGGCACCCCACCTCCGGAATCTAAGCTTTAGCTTTGCCGCTGGAAGCTGGAAGTGGAACGGTTCCGCTGATCCGGGTGTGCCCCCCCAAAAAAATATATACATATATTTCGTCCACTTGGTTAAGACCCCTGGAAACAATATATATATATATATTATCCAGTAGTGATAGATTCCCTTTAAAACCACCAGGGGAAAATCAAAACATATTCGCTCCAGCAAATGGAAGATATGAAAAAACTTGGCACCCGAGCCATGGGTGTTTGGCCCGGGTGTTCCAGAACTGGAATGCTCCTTGCAACCGAGGTGTATATGTTACAAAGACCCATCTCTGGTTTCAGTCGAAAAGATGAAGCCAGGTGTCCGAATCTCATCACTTGACAACTTCACCTTCGAAGGGGACAAAACGTTTCTGGGCTGCCCTTAGATCCCGCGCGAAAAGTGACTGACTCTTAGTGGATTAAATGGAAACTGCCACTAAACCAACCAAAAGGCTAAAAGGCTAAGGAACCGGATGGCTCGGAGACACCCAGGTTAGGGGGCGGAAGGGATCTGACAAATTCGGCTACCCTCTTTCCATGGGATCGGACAAATTCGGTTTCCCTGAACCATAGATGGAGACATAACGAGTCGGGGACGGGGATCTAGTTTGGGTCCACCTACCGAGGAAAGGTTGGACCCAGAAATCAAAGGTGATCACCTGAAAAGGGCCATAAATATGCACACAAGGGGAAGCTAATTTGGTCAAATCACGTCGATTGATTCGCCCAGGGGCAAGTATCAAGCAAGGAGGCTGCAGCTTTTTCGCGGGGAACATGAGAACGTATGTCCAGTAGCGAAATCATAAACCAGCTGTGGAAAATAAAGCATGATCTTCCATTCGCTTGAGCCTCCTGACACAACATGAGAACATATTTCCAGTTAAGCCTCCTGACGCAACATGAGAACATATTTCCAGTAGCGATAGATTCCCGTCATCAACCAACTGAGGAAATACAACGTATTATTTTCAGCAAATGGAAGGATTCCAAAAATGGAAGATTACGGCGTGCGAATCACATCCGTTGGGAGACCTCAGTCACCCCCTGAGTGTGTGTTTTATTCTTTTCGGGGTCGGTTTACAGGGAAGGTATCTGGGATCTGGAAACCACCGATTTTGGGGGGGAGTCTCACAAAAGGAAGGAAAATAATTCCACATGAAGGGATCGATCCATTCGTAGCAACTGATTCTGAAAGGGGTACGCTGAAAAACTGAATTGTCAGTCAAGGAGAAAATGACATATAACTCATTCTACCAAGAAAAACACGCAGTGGATGGTCACAAAGCCCACTTCACACATCTTCACACCAGATGGCACCCGCTTATCCTATAGTTCTCAAAAGGGCGTCCTCCAGGAGTTGGTCCACCCGAAGTAGCATTTCTCACAGGAAAAGGAGGCATCGATGTAAAAAAAACAAAAACAACTCCGGATAACTCAGCTCCCTCGCTGAAGTCGAAACAAAAGACGCCTCTCGCCAACTCTTCGTCTTGCCTTTTCTTTGAGGCCGCACCTCGTTCCACCATCTTCGGCCAACAAGAGGAACCTGGATAGCCAGTTGCTGTTTTTTCCATGAACTTTATCCCAAAAGCAGCAACAGTGGCTGAAAAACAGCAGCAACTTGGCTATCTAGGAAGACACCATGGCCAAGCAGGCCACTTCTCATTAGACCGTTTATCACATTTCAATCAAGGGAGCCGCCATGAACGTGCAGCGCAAACTTCCATTTGCCGAAGTGCTCTGGGAAAAAGAAGCACATGTCCTGTAGTGACTACAAATGAAGCAAACCTATCCACGTACCCACCTGCCCACCCACCCACCCACCCACCCACACCCACCCACACCCACATCCACCCACATCCACCCATATCCACCCACATCCACCCACCCGCTCCCCAACATCCACCCAGTCACCCAGCCACCCAGCCACCCAGCCACCCACGCACCCACCACCCAACCCGCCTGCAGGTTCAGCAGGTTGGTGGAGTCCCTTGGCAGGTGCCAATCCAAGAGCGAGTGGTGCGCCGGGAAGATGCGGCAGGGCACGCGGCAGTTGGCGCCCAGGAAGAGCAACAGCTTCACCACCCCCAGGTGACCGTTCCTCTCTTCTCGGACCAAACTTTGTGTGCAAATGCTTGTCTCTAATTCCAAAAGCTGAATTAAGGGATTTTCAGGTACAGGACCTGTATGGTGAGTTTAGCCAAACTGTTGACAAGCATTAGTGGTCAAATCCAGAAATCCAAGCATTGTGAATCATTAGTGGTCAAATCCAGAAATCCACAGAGCCCGGTGATCCCCAAAGCGCCGACTTCTGCCACGGCTTCGGACAACTTGAGAAATACTTGGTCGAGGGGCTCCCAAAGCAAGGCCAAAAGGTGAACCCTTTGGCAATTGTTGCCGCCTGGACAACAATTTATGTTTCCAGTAGTGAAATCGATTCCCTTTAAAAGCAACTATAGGGAACCTACAACATGTTCATTTCAGCAAATGTATGGACGCTTCAGAAACTTTGAAGCACGTTGGCCATTCTGTACATTGGCACGCCTGTCCGTGCTTCTTGTTGAGAATCCGGTTTTTCCCCAATCCTAAGCCGCAATTTTCGAAGAGGAACACCGTTTCCACCGTCTGGCAGAATTGGATCTGGTTGATCAATGTTGACCGAGCCATCAACTTTTCAGCAAGCCGCTTGGCCAACAGGAAACCCATGAGATCGTTCTGGGGCCAAACAGGTGCTCCCCCCATTGTTGCAAGTGCCCACATTGGCCTTGCCTGCGAACCTTGCTGTCATCCCACCAATCCAAACCAAGGATTGGTGGGATGGGAGCCGCTGATTCTTGTACACCCAGTTGCCCAGTTTGGACCCAGGAACAAAGTGATCGCCTTTGGGCTGTGTGTTTTTTGGGGAACCGCCTTTTTGGTGGTTTAAATTGACACCAAAAGGAAAAACACCATTGTGGGGGTTCCCTCCCAAAGGAAAAGACACACCCTTTTGATTCCACCAAAAAATTGGACCAAACAGAAGCTACTAGTTGTCAGGTCAATTCTCTTCACTCGTGAGGTGCCGGGTTCAGGGGAAACCACCTGCTTCCAAACCTTACTGGTGCTTCCGAGGCAATGAACCCAGGGATTCCCTTAAAGGCAACCAGTTGGACGCTTTACTCAGGGTCATTCCAGCTCATTCCCTGCCTGCAGCTTCCAAACCGCCCGGGTCTTCCAAACCGCCGGGCGTCTCCGTGGCGGCGTACAAGGCGCTCACCTCCTGGGCGCTGCGCGCGTCGATGTCCGCGCGCAGGCGGAGCAGCGAGTCCGCCGCCTGGAAGGCGCCGTGGAGTCACGGCACGAGCCACGAGCCACAGTGGGCGTTGCAGGCAACAACCAAAAGACCTCCATCAAGATGTGAAACTTGCGGACCCAAGATATCAACCAAAAGACCGCCAGAAGGTAGGAGTTGCAGAAAGAAGAGAAGAGCCTTGATGTTGATCTTTTCTGGGAGCTGATTGTCTCGCCTTCAAAAAAACAGGAGAATAACAACGCCCTACTGGAGATGAGACGTCGGAACCTCGGGTCTGTGTTTCGAGGGCACCCGTTTTTGGTGGCTTTCATTTGAGGGCACCCCTTTCTGGTGGTTTTTTCAAGGGGAAACAACTAGGAAACCCATTGGTTTGTTGTTTGTGTTGTACTATTATGTCTATGTGTGCGGGGGGGCCTAGAAAGAGACACACCCACATTGTGCAACCCAGCCCAACAGTTGCAACACCTACTCCTGGGAGTCAAAGGTGTTCATCGCAATCGAGGAATAAGCTGAAGATGTTACCCAACGTCGACCTGGAAAAGACCAAGTACATCTTGACCTTTGGTTTATCCAGGCAACCTGGTAGCCCAAAGATCTAGAAGTAGGAAAACTAGGCACCCTCATCAAAGAAAACAACACAATAACAAGTTTCAACAAAGGCTCACAACCTGGTGTCAGACGAAAAGCGCTTCAAGTTTGCTCCGCTTCTTTTGCTCAAGATCCGACATTCTTGCCGAATACCTGGAAAAAAGGAAGACATCTCCGGTAATTAGCAAAATCGATTCCCCCTAACACCAACTGCAACTAGAAGGACAGATTCACTTCAACCAAAGATGGGTCTCAAATGGAGTGTCCGCAAGAATGCGAGAAACACATCCAACAAGGGCAAACAAAACACACATTCTCCGAAAATGCAAACATATAAAAGGCCATCAGCCACATGACTTGGGGGTGTTCGACTCCCTCCAAGACACATCTTCTCTGAAATGCAACTTTAAAAGGCAAACCACATGATGCAGAAGTGTTCCCCCCAAATGACAAGTTTATTTGGTTGACGTTGGAAGGGGAGCAACAAATCATTTTTTAGCAGTTAAGTGGGTTTTTCCCCACCAAACCACAACAATTAAGCAAACATGGGAAAACCATGTTTCAACCAACAAAAAGCCATGTATATAGAGGAGTTCTTGAGACCCCACCTGTTCATGCTTCTGCAAAAATGGGGAAAAACATGTTTCAAACAGCAACCACCGTGTTTTGAGGTTTCAGGTCGGACGGGCGAAGCTCCGGCGCTCCGGCGGCTTCGATTCGTCCGCCTGGAGGTTCCCCAGGGCGGCGGCCAGATGCAGCGCCCCGAAGCCCGTGGTGGTCCGCGCCTCCACCAAGGCCTGCCGCGGGCCACCGCCGTGGTTTTGCCGTGGCGCCGTGGGGCCTCTGGTTGGCCGTGGGTTGGCTGTGGTGCTTTGCGCTTTTGTTTCTTCATTTTTTGGTTGTTGTTTTTTTTATCGTTGTTTTTTTCTCATATTTTTGGTTGGTCCCTTTTTGCTTGTCAAAAAGAGGGGCTGGAGTTGGGCTCGCTGTGTGCTCTTCTACATGCCCCAGCTCTGGGTGGGCTTTTGGGGAAGTCTAAGAGTATGGACTGCATACAGAGCATGAAGGCTGAGGGAGATCAAAAGAGATGGTTTGCTGGCACCCCTAAAGCAAAATGGGAAACGCACATGGTGGAGGGCCCTGGTCCGCCAAGCTGCTCTCCATTGCGAGAGGTTCCAAGCCCGCCAGGTCTGTTTGGGGCACCTCTCAAACGACCCAGCTGATATTCTTGGCGAAGTTTAGAGCAACTTCCCAAGTAAACATCTAAGTATCAGCTTCCTGTTGGCTGGTGGTTTGGAGCCCGGTGGTTTGGTGGTTAAGGAGGGGCTTCACATCTGTCCTCTTCGAGAGGCAGGGTTGAAATCCGCAAACCACAAACCACCAACTTCCCGGAAAGTGGGCTTTGGTTACCAGCAAGATAGAGGTTCGGGAAACCCGTTTCCCGGGCTCGAAAACGAAGAGCTGATTTCCCTTTTCATCGCTGGCAAGGGCAAAAGCATGCAAAAGCATGAACAAACGAGAATGCACTTTTTGGATTCCCCGCATGTCAGTATGAATCTTGATTCAGGACCCTTCGGTGGAAAATCCTTCGAGTGATATCCTGCTGGGCACGGGTAATATCATGAGTCCTTGTATGGGAAATGTGCCTTAAGTCCCCTGTGCCAAATCCCAACTGGATAGGCAAAACGTGAATCTTTGCTGACTTCCTGGTTCTACCAAGATGTTCATAGCCCTGAGCATCATTGGACCCGTTGAAGGAACCTCCATTGAAGGGTTTTGTCATCTCTCACCGGCCTTTTGGAGGATCCAGGACAAATGCTTAGAGAAAGGTCTTTGCAAACCTTCCCCTCCCACCAATGAAACATGGAACCTGACAGTCGGGTCCCGCTAAAAAGCAATCGTCTTCCAGGAATCTCCCGAACGTCAGGTTCCACCAGATCCCCTGCCAGAAGTCGACAACTTTTAGTGGCTGAAATGAACAACCCAGCCACTGAAGTCACTAAACCAAAACAACACCAGAAACGTGGACCCCCAAAAAAAATAAACAAACAACTTTCGGGCACCGGACGGCCTGCTGTGAATTCCCCCACAAAACCCTCCATTTACTTAAGTCGCCTGGAAAATCCGCCGACCCTCTGCCTCCCGTCCCAGCCTCCTGCAGAGGGGACCGGCGTGGGATGCAACTGGAAGTGATTGGAATCAATGATAGTCCCAGGGACGCGCCCGAACGCACGAAAAGTGGATTTCTAGGACCGGTCCTGGGACCAGTCCTGGGACCGGTCCTGGGACCGGTCCTGGGACTGCTGTTTCAGTTTACTAGCCAAAAACGTCCTGGGACTGGCCCTGGAAAAGGTGGGACTGGTCCCAGAAACAGACCAGAACCGGCATTTGCTTTAGGACCGGTCCTGGGCCTGGGACCGGCCCTGGGACTGGTCCCGGCCAGGACCGCTTTCAGGACTGAAGCCGGTCCCGGGATGGAGTCCTGGTGTCGCTGTGGTGCGACGCCTTTCCGGACTGGCGCCCGTGTTTCAGGACACTGGACACGGTCCCAGGTCCCAGTCACCCTGCGACCGGTTGAGGGGCACCGACGGCCTTGTTTCTAGGACCAGCTCAACGTGACTTGGGGGCAAACCGGCCCGGCTATTGACGGCCATCTGTCTGACTTTTCCGTTAATCCTAGTGGTAGTGGAGGATCCCTGGATCTGTTCTGCAAGAGAATCCAATACGTCGAGTCAAACCGCGCCAGACTGGGACCAGCCTGTCCCGGTCCCTGCCGGCGACCGGTCCAGGGCAACTTCGGGAGGGTCAGTTTCAGGGCGACCCCGGGAGAGGCGTGCTCCCGGGCCAACTCGAAGTGACTTGGGCGCAAGCCGGCCCAAGCGGTAATTAACGGACTAGCTGCCATATTTCTGACTTTTCCGTTAATCCTTGTTTGTGGTCGTAGAGGATCTTATAAGTGGTCCCTGGGTTTGCGGACGTGTTTCAGGACCGGTCCTTGTGACTTTTCCCTTAATGCGCCGAGGGTCGGCGGCAGCAGGCGGGAGCCTGGTTAATAAAACATATTTCCAGTAGTGAAATCGATTCCCTTTAAAACCACCAGGGGAAAATTACAAAATCTTCTTAACCAAATGGAAACCAGCGCGTCGCCTTGCCTGGCCGAAGGGTGTCTGCATCATGTCCACCACCTCCCAGTGATCCACCCGGCCCGCCACGTGCAGAATGGACTCCTCGTACCTGGGAGGAGACGGAAAAAACCTGCCTTCTTGGAGTCCCCTTTTGGGCCTCTTCCATTTGTTGAGCTTTCTTGGAGGGGTCCCCTTGTGGTTTCTTCATTTGTTGAGCTTTTTTGGAGGGGTCCCCATGTGTCTTCCATTTGTTGAGCTTTTTTGGAGCCCCCTTTTCGTTTCTTCCATTTGTTGAGCTTTTTTGGAGCCCCATTTTCGTTTCTTCCATTTGTTGAGCTTTTTTGGAGCCCCCTTTTCGTTTCTTCCATGTGTTGAGCTTTTTTGGAGGGGTCCCCTTGTGGCTTCTTCCATTTGTTGAGCTTTTTTGGAGCTCCCTTTTCGTGTCTTCCATTTGTTGAGCTTTTTTGGAGCTCCCTTTTCGTGTCTTCCATTTGTTGAGCTTTTTTGGAGCCCCCTTTTCGTGTCTTCCAATTGTTGAGCTTTTTTGGAGCCCCCTTTTCGTGACTTCCAATTGTTGAGCTTTTTTGGAGCACCCTTTTCGTTTCTTCCATTTGTTGAGCTTTTTTGGAGCCCCCTTTTCGTGTCTTCCATTTGTTGAGCTTTTTTGGAGCCCCCTTTTCGTGTCTTCCATTTGGCTTTTTTGGAGGGGTCCCCTTGTGGCTTCTTCCATCTTTTCGTGTCTTCCAATTGTTGAGCTTTTTTGGAGCACCCTTTTCGTTTCTTCCATTTGTTGAGCTTTTTTGGAGCCCCATTGTCGTTTCTTCCATTTGTTGAGCTTTTTTGGAGCCCCCTTTTCGTGTCTTCCATTTGTTGAGCTTTTTTGGAGGGGTCCCCTTGTGGCTTCTTCCATTTGTTGAGCTTTTTTGGAGCCCCCTTTTCGTGTCTTCCATTTGTTGAGCTTTTTTGGAGCCCCCTTTTCGTTTCTTCCATTTGTTGAGCTTTTTTGGAGCCCCCTTTTCGTTTCTTCCATTTGTTGAGCTTTTTTGGAGCCCCCTTTTCGTGTCTTCCATTTGTTGAGCTTTTTTGGAGGGGTCCCCTTGTGGCTTCTTCCATTTGTTGAGCTTTTTTGGAGCCCCCTTTTCGTGTCTTCCATTTGTTGAGCTTTTTTGGAGCCCCCTTTTCGTTTCTTCCATTTGTTGAGCTTTTTTGGAGCCCCCTTTTCCTTCCATTTGTTGAGCTTTTTTGGCTTCTTCCATTTGTTGAGCTTTTTTGGAGGGGTCCCCTTGTGGCTTCTTCCATTTGTTGAGCTTTTTTGGAGGGCTTCTATTTGCTTTGGTTCCCTGGTTTGCTCCCTTTGTTTCACACACACACAAATGTGTGTATATTCCTATGCTTGTCAGGGGTCCCCCAAAGAAAGGCTCGAGGGGACTCCCCGAAAACCTCAAAGAAACCCTAGCCTATTATTGTTGTGAATTCTCACTCGGCCGGAGTCAAGGGTCCATGACCGCTATCCTAACATTTTCCGCAGCCCTCGCGCATTGCACATGGAACTGATGGACAAGATCCGCTTCGCATCACTTTGGATGGATGACACCCCCCCCCCAAAAAAAAAAAAGACTGAGAGAAACCGCCTACCAACTGGTAAGTGGATGTTGCGCAGAATTCGACATTTGGAGGCTTGGTCTAAATACAGCATTGTTCTATCGGATCATGTCCAGCCATTTCGGGATGCAATCCCAGAGTGTGGCAAACACCAAAGACCTACAAGCGCCAATAAGAAGCAACATGGATTTGTGGGGCAATGTAAATCTAATTATGTGGCATGTTTGTGAGCAACCTGGTAGAAATTCACTGTTTCCCCTATGTTATCCATGCAAAGCCAGGCAATTATTTTGTCATCTGTAGAACCCTTCGCATGCCAAATCCAGCAGTGGGTTTCACCAGTCAAAGCTCCTCAGGTGATGGCCATAGCTCCCCGAATAATCCAAAATAAGAGCCGTTCTGGTTGTCGGAAAAGTTAACTAAGTCGGCAACACTATGGCAAAACAAACGCATGTGCTGGTCCGTTTTTAGACTCTGAAGTGAGTTGGATTAAAGCTGTGTAGATTCTGTGTTTTGGGCATGCATGATATTTGTTGCACAACATTTTGGCAGCTCCAGCTGCACACATTCAATTGAATGAGATTGTTGATCAACGCACTGGCCTTTCCAGTGCACATATCTTATTTGAATGAGATTGTCATAATCTATATAATCCTTCATAATATATATATATATATATATGTATATATATATATGTATATATATATATGTATATATGGATTGATTTATATTTCTTTATGCAATATGTCTTGAATTATATGATCTATGTGAATTTATATTAACATACTATGGGAATATCTAGTCAACATTCAAAAGGCCACTCTTGGGGGTACAAACCATGTATGGGTCGTCAACCCTTAATTCGTCCTTTTGCCTGGCCGCCCTGGCGTGGTTCTAAATTGGGCTCTAAAACGAACCCCAAGAACTCTACACACAAAACACGTGCACACACGCGCGCATGGGCAATGTTTTTTGGAGTGTACCCTTTTTCGGGGGTTGGAACCCATCCATTTTGGGGGTCTCCCTAGTTTCACACAGACACACATACAGGTTGTGAACATGAAACAAGCTCAAGCGGTACTCCCAACAACCCCGGAACCTTCTGGAACCCTCCCTGAAAACTGCCGCGAACCTCCCCAGAACCTATTGGGGCCTATTGACCCCCAAACCTCTGTCCGCTGCACGTTTAGGAGGTTGAAAGCCACCAAATTCAGTGATAAATACCCCAGACTGAAGAATCCGCTGTTGCGCTGTTCAGCTACTTCAAGCACTCAGAGCAACCGCTGAGTTTGTGTGTTGCTCAAGCAAAACCACGGGGGGAAATCTCCATTTCCCCGGTGCTTCTCCGAAAAGGAAAAACAACAAACAAACAAACAAACAAACAAACAAACAAAGAAACAAAGAAACAAACAAACAAACAAAGAAACAAACAAACAAACAAACAAACAAAGAAACACAAACAACACGGCCAGCAACGATCGACCGGACCAAAGTGCTGGGCCAAGGCGTTGACCACCACTCCCTTGGCTTCCTGCAGCAGCCAGCGGCACACCTCGAGCCGTCGGCTTCGTCGTTTCGTCGGCTGGACGGGCCGGGTGCGATCAGCGCTAACTTTGCACCGGAAGACATGAACCTTCGGCCGTTGTGGTAACCTTTCAGGGGAAACTAGGAGACAGCCGAAAGCCGCAAACGAACAGAGTCATCTTGTTTTGTTTCTCGATAACTTTCAGACATCCCCCAGCCCCAACCAACGTGCCCCCCCCACACAACACTCCCCAAATACAC